AGAAAAAAAACACTAAAAATAGAATAAAATGTTAATACGGATTCATTAAAAATAGAAAAATAAGTAGAGGGGCTCAGGCGTAGAGCTCCCTTCAATCCAAAGAAGAATTAGAAAAGGTTAATGCAGCTCCTAAGTCGTGCAAACCACAAGCCTATCTCATGAAGTGATATGTTCTTTTTCCTTTTTCCTTCTTTTTTTTTCCTTTTTATTTTATCTCAGGATGCAAGAAACTAATGAGAATAGGGCAGTGGAATCCACGACCAAGCAGCTCAATTCACCCTTCCAAAACCCTTATTTGGACTTCAAGGAGCTTTACCCTTAAAACCCACAAAAAGAAAAAAGAAAAATAAGCTTAAATATTTAAACGCATATTTCCCAAAGGAGAGAACTGCTAACTACTTGAGTGAAGTTGAAGAGGGCTGAGGAGCTCCTTATATAGCAAACTGTGAGGTTTTTGCAAGGGAGTCCAGGGACCTTTCGTTTTATTTTCTATTTTTAATTTGAATTTACTATATATTTCTTTAGCAGCATTATGGCACGCATAACTTAGGAGACGTGCTTAGGGACTTGAATAGATTCCTCTGACTTGCTGGTTCAGGCACATGACTTGATGTCCCACCACTCTATCGATCAATCTTCAAATTTTAAAATTTAGCCAACGAAAATACTAAACGTATATGTACAGTATTACCTGACCAACCAAAAATAAGGATACGAATATAAATATATATCTATACGATATATTTAAGAAAAGTCATTTAAGATTAAAAAAAAACACGCATGCAAAAAAGTAACAAAAATATCTAACACTTGGAAATCGACACAAGTGGTCCCACTCTCGCAGAAGATATTCCAAAATACTCTCATATTTTTCTGTTATTCACACATCACGTGCCCTGGAGTACTAATAACTTAGAAAAAAAAGCTTATATCCATGTCCATCAAAATTAGATATACGACCGCTTGCTCAAATAAAGATATTGCACATATGTGAATACGAAAACGATATACAGAATACTATTTTATGTCATATTATCTATCATATATATATTATATATATATAGTATATAATACCATATATATACTAAATATTAATATATTATATATATTACTATATATATTATATATATATTATATAATATATATTAGTAATATATTAAGGTGATTTACAGTTCTCTTCACTTTAATTTTTTCAATGTTATTTAGAATATTGTGTATCTACTAAATGATTCTTAAATTATCTTATTATAAATATAAAATAATAAGTGGCACCCATGTGTAGATCTTTTTTCAACTTCGTCGCTTTCTTTGCAAACAAACAAAAAAGAATTTTTACAATCTCTTTGGCAGATTAATTTTCTATATCCCCCTTCTGTTAACCACATAAAAACTCAAAACTTTAGAAATTTATAGATTCCTTATATTTCTAACATTGTCATTAAAATCCAAATCCTACTGTTCTAACGTTTGGCAACTGGGGTGTTTTTGTTGTTTCTGTTTTTTTCAAAAAAAGAATGAAATGAGTTTGGCAACTAGGGTGTTTGTTGACATGACCCATTAAAAATCCCACAAATAAACGGTTTTCTCAAAACACCAAAAAGATGTGTTGAGTTCCCGTGTATTTTTTTCATCCAATCCCTAACAGCTTGTCGCCACTTCCCGCGTCGCCAACATCTCATCGACGTTGCCGCTTCCAAACCCGACCCCCCTCCTTCTTTGATCGCCGGAGCCGAAGCCCCTTCTCGTTTGATCTCCACCGTCGGAACCCCTCTTCTTCACCTCCCCAGCTTTCTCTCCTCCCCAAACAATACCCAAGCTCAAACCCTAGCTTGTTTGTCCTCCCCAAATCCTCACCTTCGGACACCTTCAATTTAGGTAAATTTTTATTGTTTTTCAATTTTTTAATTCAATTTATGTTATTAAATCTTTGTTTTGTCAATTTTTATAACAATTTCAAATTTTATAGTTTACATGAACATAATGATATATGATCAACACATCTGTTTGAAACTTTCAAAATGGTGTTTTCAAAACACTTTTGAAAAAAACACTATGACATGATGTTTTCCACAAAAAACACAACAAGAAAATCACCTTGATTACCAAACACAAAAAAAACCCCAGAATGCATAACGATTAACAAACGCGAAACCTAAAATTACAAAACATAAGCCAAACAAACCTCACAGAATTGAAGGTAATAAGCTCATGGGAACACACTGATAGATATGAATTCAAATTCTCTCCGCTACAAAAAATATTGGAGAGACCACTACATTATCATAACTAGTGATTATATAACGGACAATTATAATTTTTCTTTTAGTGTAAATTAGGAATGACAACATTAATAGATATAGGGGCGTGGTGAATGTTAGATTTAGAATAAATCACAATCATTCACTAAATAATCAACTACTTTGATCAAACGTAGTGGTTCTTCCACTATTTTTTTAGTGGAGAGGATCCAAACCTGTTAATTACTGCTTGATACATAAATTGTTTTCTCATTTAGCAGCTCAACATGTAAATTATTTTCTCATTTATTTCTATTAAGAACTTTCTTTCATTTCAAGCCTTGATTTGTTGGTTTCTTAGAAATAAAAAAACCCAAACAGAGAGAAACCCTCAAAAACATCTTTTTCTTATTTCTTAAAAAAAACTAATGAATTAATTTTATAAGATTATGAATCATATGGCTCCAATAAAAGGGTATTACATCAACTTTTTTTATTTCAAGACAAAAATTAAACATGAGGGTATATTTGGCAAACCCTCTAATCTGGATTAGCCATATTTTATTTTTTAACCAGCTCAAAATTGAACCAAACGGGGAATGGTTCAATTTTAACTTAAATAAGAGGCTCGATCTAAATGAACTGAAAAATATTAGGCTAGCTCTGGCCTAACTTTTCCTAAATATAAAATTCTACTAAAATTAGATCAAGCTTAAAATTGATCCATTTTCAGTAGTTTAAAAAATAGACACTTAATTACTATTATTATTGTTGTTGCTGTTATTTAATACTGGGTAGCCAATTACCCTCTTTAAATTTAAAAAATGCTAAGTGCACTATTCTCTATTGTACTCATTTTGGTACTCGCACTCACAAAAGAGTGAGATTATGATGCCTCATCAGTCACCACATAAAAATTGAAAAAACACTAGGGGCACATCTTGGGACACACTCCCAACCCCACCCCTCACCTGCTACAGTGCAGGGGGTCCCACTTGAGATTTTTTAAAAAATCTCAAGTGGGACCCCCTGCACTGTAGCAGGTGAGGGGTGGGGTTGGGAGTGTGTCCCAAGGTGTGCCCCTAGTGCTCCTCATATAAATTGTATCATAAATCTATTTTTTGTGAGTGTGAGTTGCGAAAGCGGACAAGACAAGGACTATTGCCGGCAACGACGTGGGTCACCACGACTTTGAAGAATGTGCCCCGAGACAATATTCTTGTCAGAGCTCTCAATCCAATGCCTAGATCTTTTTCACCTACACATGGGCTTCATTGACCAGGGTCAACCAACGATCGCAACGGGTCGGATCTTATAGAACCAAGAGACTGTTGATTTATGTTTGGAGGATCCGCATCCACCAAATATTATATCCTTGTCTGAGAGCAGGGACTCACGTGTTTTTCTTATTAGCAGTTTAGCACAAATGCAAATGGCCCTAAACTATTTTGAATGTATTCTAATATCTCTACACCAAAGATTCATATCAAAGATTCATGTTTTTGATAATGTCAGGCTAAGCTTTGAATGGACATTCAAATTTGATCACCTACTTGATTCATTTACATAGATATACATACATACGTATCCTGTACGAGATGTTAAATAGTCCTATTTCAGGTAGATGCTATCTACATGATTCAGCCATAATACAGATTATCTTGTATATGAAGAAAGAGGAAGGTGAAAAAATAAATGATTTTCAGGCATATTCCTATCGACAAACTCTGTTTGCTATGAGGAAAAATTAAAAAAAAATATTGAAGATGGGATCGACATATCCTAGACATTTTTCCAGATAATTTGTCTTTGAAAAAAATGCCCAAGTTTCCCCTTTTCTCCTCTCATGCACATGTAATTTACTACCCCTGACGAAGCCTAAACAGGTGAATAAAGGGCAAAGAAAATTGTTTCTGCATTACTTTCTTTAATACTAGAGCCACGGTTAAAACATTGAGTGATAGATGATTAAGCTGCAGATTTCAGATTTCAGATTTCAGATTTCAGACCAGAGGAGAAGCCCCTATTATGTGTGTCGTGTACTTTGTTTGCTTGCTTATGGTTCATTAGAATCATTGCATGACTTATTTACTCCTTTTGATTTTTTCTTTAACAAGTTGAAGGAGATATGTACATGATCTTTCTTAACTAAATACCTAATGTTTGGATATACATATGGATGACAATAAATTTCAAGAACAAAAAATTTGAAGAAAGGACTAACGTAGCACTCAGAAATTATATGTCCACGTACATAAATTATTACAACAAGAACTTGCATAAAGTACCATAGCAAACAAAGTTTGTGCAGTGGCTTCCTATTTAACGAAGTCTCAAGATAAAAGTTTCAAGGCATAACACAGATCAAATTCGCAAAATCAGTAAACCAAGTAACCTAACTTCAATATGCCAGAAATCATGTTGGTAGACACAAAATTAACATTTATATTAACAAAAAACAGCTTAACATACTGCTACAATGGTATAAATAGCAAGCCAAAATTAAAACCCTCTACTAACACAGGCAGACTATTTGCATAAACAAGCAAGCAAATAACCTGGTCTGATACCATTATATACCCCACATGCATTCAAATACTACCCTCAAACATAGGTAAGCAACTTGAAATAGACCACAACGTACACCGATAGAGAAACCACAGCCAAAACATGCTGCCAGAACAAAATCGCCGAAGCCTCCTTCACTGCATATCCCCTCAAGCTTGCGATCGCCCCTAACAAGATTGCGCTCGGTGTTGTGTACTGCAACAACAGCACAAACCGGAACATGTCGTCCTCTCGCAACAGCAAATTCAGCTTGTCGGCCAATGCCACCACCCCAATCCCAATCAATGGAAGCACGATTAGTCTCGCCACTGTGATCCCTATTGTCGTTCTAAGCCCGAGGGCTGAGTCGTTTGGTCCCTCTGCAAGAATCCCTCCAAGAATCAACATCACTGACGGGACCATTGCTCCGGCCAGAATATCCAAACTATCCGTAATGAAAGACAATGGTGCATCATCGCCAAAGAAGAAGCCCTTCAGCATCGGAACCATCCCAATTACGATAGCCAACAGCGAAGCAATAGTCGGAGGCTGAAGAATGTGCCTTATCGGAGTTTGCTCCGCCACAATTCTAATCCTTCTGACCATTTTCGGCTCAGCTAAGCATCTGATAGACTTAGGACTGCTACTACCACCACCCTCTTCCTCTATCAAATCAAGGTCAGGGAAACTAGCCTCAGATGACCCAGACACCCTCGCGAAAACCCTAGCAATAAATGGCGTCTTCGAATGCTCCGTTTCTTTGTCATGCATCCCCGGCCACTCTCCATCGTGAAGAAGAGGCCTATTACTGTTACTACTACCGACCACAACTTCCTCCATCTCATTGTTCTCCGATACAATCTCATAGTACTCCAGTGGGGGCTCCATCATATGATAAACCAAAGTGTACACAAGAATCACGGCGACCCACTGGGCGAAGGAGACGTAAGCAATGCCCGTTCTGTGGCAATCAGGGCCAAAAGGGTGATCTTCAGTATGACACACCGAGCCTACGATTGCAATCGGAAGGTTACCGGTGTTACCAAATCCGGTCATGACGATGGTAAAGCGGACAAATTGGGGCGGCGGGCGACAAATCAAGGTGACGATGTAGCCCAAAACGCAACCGATCGCGGTGCTTAGGATCACATTGAGGGGGACAAACCACCATAGGAGCAACTCACCCAGGGTGATGGATTCGCCCAAGTGGACAAAGATGAGGCAAGGGAGGAAGAGGGCAAAGACTAGCTTCGATAACAGCTTGAATGTGGCTCTAGGGACAAGTTGGGTTTTTGGGTGGGCAAGGATTAGTCCGATCAGGGTCAGGGTTAAGAGCTTCATCAGCGGGATGACAGCAGAGAGGAGATCCTCGCTTTCGGACTTCATGTTTGAATCCACTGATGCGTGTTCTTGAGTTGAGTATCAAATTTTAGGTGAAATTTTTTTGATAATGGGTGTTTAATTAGGTTTTGTCAACAACAACAATTCATCGGATCGCAAATCGTGTAAGCAAACATAGCAAGAAATTTGAGACGGGTATTATTGAAACCGAGCGTACATGCAAAATATAGTAAAGATTGCAATATAAATGAGGACTTACCTGAATCTAAGCCTTAATTGGGAGAAGAAGATGCGAAGAAGATGCGAAGCTCTCCGAGAGAGAGCAGAGAAAAATATCGTGATCTCGCATTTGTTTGCGTTCGTGGGGTTACAGTGTATGTTCTTTGTGGGTACAGGATAAGGGAAGCAAGAGTTAATAGCCGTCCGTACGAGATTATATGGTTGTGCTCGAGTCCCCGTAGAATTTCTTCCCATATGGGCCCCACTTTTGGTGCATACGACAAGAACGAAAGATTCTGCACTTGATACCGACGGGTATAGATTTTATTTTTTTGGTCGGTCTCTAATGTCAACATATTTTTGGATTCTTCTGTATGAATTTGCCTTTGTACGTACAAACTCGCTGGGGTTCGATTAATAAATGAAAGTGAAAAGATTAGAGATCATTGTTAATTAAGCGGCTTCATATTTATTGCCACATTGTCTTCAACAATAACTTATCCTTGAAAACAAACAGCATATTTCACTTACATACTAATTAATATTAATGTGAAAGTTACTTGTAAAGGAAATACATTTCACACGCTCAATCCACTTTCAATTTACAAAACACTTTCTAAACATAGCATTTTTTAAACTAAATGTACGTAACAAGTCTATAACAAAGAGTAATATGTTGGGCTCGAAAGGTAATATGATTTGTTAGGAACAGTTTATAAGAATTGACGGATCTAGTAAATTTGGGGAGTAACTTCAAAATATTAAAGACTTATTAAGAAACTAAAAAAACCCAAACTAAAAAACAGAAAGTACTATAATGAAAGCGTTAATTTTAGATATTCAATCAAATTATTTCGCATTATGTGATATATAATAAATAATTTGAGTTACAATATTGATGAAATACTTGGGATTTATTGTTTGAACTAGGAAGCTAACGGAGTTTTCTCTACAAATGTAGTAAATGGGCTACTAAATTATTTGAAGGATTTAGTTGGGCTGTTACGAGCTTTAGCCAAATTAGTTACCTAATGCATGTCATAGTATACTGAAGCCCATTTAGACTGGTTTCCATTCTTGATTTCTTAATTTGCTTTTCAAATTTTTGTGTGTGCAGGATTAAAATTATAATTTGGTATTGTATTTGAGACATCTGTAATGTAATGAGCCTTGACTAATGAATCAGAACCAGGTTTTTTTTGTGTTGTTTTTTGAATATATATGGGCCACAAACAACCAACATTAAATTGAACTGTTAAAAATCGGCCAAGCGAATTTGCCGTGCGTGTCAAACGTGTTTGCAACAATTTTTTTTAGATCCTCCGATATCATATGTAATACAATGACTAAATTAATAGTTGTTAGGACATAAAACTATAACTCTTAGTTCTTACCCCAACTTTAAACTTTGGTGGATTGACATAGTTCTTTGATATGATATCAGAGAAATACAAGTTAATTTCTAACTAGCCGCGAATTTAAAAATGGATCACAGTTTCTGAACTTTAACTTTGATTGTTTGGTTTTATTTCAAACCTGTTTTTATGGTGTACTCAAGCCTATTGGAATTGAGGTTGATACTAGCTGCAGCTAGGTATTTACTCATTGTGGAGATTTAAGTTAGACGACTGGTTTCGAGTAGATTTTAAAGCGCGATCTTGCAAGCCTATTGAATTGGGTTTGTGATTCAGGAGAACTCTTAGCATGGTGAGGAAGCTCACTCGTGAAAAGGAATAGTGGACATATGATTGTTATCCCAGTCACTATAAAATCTTGCATTTTCTTAGTTAGCTGTTATTTGTGATTATTTATCGTCAATCACTTTTATTTTACCGTCGCATATTTTGTGTTTCTAGCGAAAAACGGTAGCAACCTTATACACCTCCCTCTAGGCTTGCATCTCAGATCCAACAAACATATCATTTCCCTCTGTTTTTTTAAATTCCAACTAATCCATGAAATTTGATAACTAAAAATTGGAAATGTACAGATTTTCATAAGAATCTTATGTAATAATATAAAATCACTAAATTTATTCAAAAATAACACCCTAATAAAGATCTACATGATTTTAAATACCGATTAGAAACTAATGGTTAGGAGTTATGCTTATCATATCATACTCCCTTTAAAAGAGGGAGTTGTGGAAAAACTTTTCAAGGACTATATTACCCCTATTCTTTTTTGATATTACATTCTAATACTAACTAAACTAAATTAATTATTAATGTTAATTAATTATATTATATGTCACTTTAAATTTGTATAATTTGGTCCCTAAAACTTCCAACGTTATTGTAAAACTCTACATCATATTAACTATTAGTAATGTATAATAATACATTAATAGATAATTGCATGTTAATAAAGTATTTATGGAAAGAATAAAAAACATAAAATTGTCCTAAAATTATATCATGACACTCATAAAGGAAAATTACAAAGAGCATTATTATGTTTAGGTAACAAGATAGAAAGTACAAGCATAAAATTTTAGAAAGTATTAGGATATTTAAGTGCAGCAAGATACGCTATCTTAAATTAAAAAAGAAAAGTGTAGCAAGATACAAGTGGAGTTATATAAGTATAATTTTAGTAAATTATAAGGTATATAAGTTCAGTTAAAGCCTATAAAAGATTTGAAACATTTGGTATCTACAAACAATAGTATATGATCTCATTGATAAATAATATTCATCATACAATATAAGGTCACATGCATAGCTTATATTTATATAGTAAAGGAGATGTGAAAAAAATTAAAGCATCATATTTTGAATGAGTCTCAAGATTTTGAATTATTTTCTAAAATTATATACTTCACTTAGAAAACTTCAGAAGAGGCTTTCGAATGACTACTACAAAGTGTTGGACATCGGATGAATCTTGAACAAGTAAAATCCACGATATCTGATTGCAAAAATCAAGGATATGTATATAATACTGGGTGTCATATGAGATAATATTCATACATAACATGATATTGTAACATGTAATCTAACATATTAATAAACTTTAAACATAAGAATTTATATCAAGATATATGCTTAAGATTTGGGAGAGCTGAGAGTGGAGAGATTTGAGAGAAGAATTGTGGCATTTGTGTGTTTTGTGGGCTCTAATTTTGTTTCCCAAACACAATCCAAACTTGAGAGAAGAATTGTGGCATTTGTGTGTTTTGTGGGCTCTAATTTTGTTTCCCAAACACAATCCAAACCCAAGCCCACAATCAAATTAAAAATGACATGATTTTCTCAATATATGGCCGATATATCTCTTTCAAGATATTGAGAAAATCGTGTTATTTTTAATTTGATTGTGGGCTCGAGTTTGGATTGTGTTTGGGAAACAAAATTAGAGCCCACAAAACACACAAATGCCACAATTCTTCTCTCAAATCTCTCCACTCTCAGCTCTCCCAAATCTTAAGCATATATCTTGATATAAATTCTTATGTTTAAAATTTATTAATATGTTAGATTATATATTACAATATCATGTTATGTATGAATATTATCTCATATGACACCCAGTATTATATACATATCCTTGATTTTTGCAATCAGACATCGTGGATTTTACTTGTTCAAGATTTATCCGATGTCCAACACTTTATAATAGTCATTCGAAAGCATTTTCTGAAGTTTTCTAAGTGAAGTATATAATTTTAGAAAATAATTCAAAATCTTGAGACTCATTCAAAATATGATGCTTTAATTTTTTTCACATCTCCCTTACTTTATAAATATAAGCTATGCATGTGACCTCATATTGTATGATGAATATTATTTATCAATGAGATCATATACTATTAATTGTAGATACCAAATGTTTCAAATCTTTTATAGGCTTAACTGAACTTATATACCTTATAATTTACTAAAATTATACTTATATAACTCCACTTGTATCTTGCTACACTTTTCTTTTTTAATTTAAGATAGCGTATCTTGCTGCACTTAAATATCCTAATACTTTCTAAATTTTATGCTTGTACCTTCTATCCTGTTACCTAAACATTAGGGCTGAGCATGGTTCGGTCCAAACCGAAAAAACCGACCGAACCGACCCGAACCGATCCGAAAAAATCGGTTTTATGAGTAGGACGGTTCGGGTCGGTTTGAAAACTTTTTAACCCGAACCGATCCGAACCGACCGAATATAGTGCAATACTATCCATTTTGATCTCAAACCCTACCCGACCCGTCCCCAAAGAGTCAAAGACTCAAACTCTAAACTCATTTTCTGGATCATTATGGGTTGAAAATAATATCATTATATCAGTGTTTAATGCTTCATAATCTCTTACTTTGTTAATATTTGTTTTTAACACAGTTTGTTGTTTGATAAGAAGTTTGATGAAGTTAGAACCGAACAAACCGAACCGAACCGTACCGAACCGACTTGCAACAGTTCGGTTCGGTTTTGAATTATAGGCGGTTCGGTTCGGTTATTCAAATTTCGGTAAAAACCGAACCGAACCGACCGTTGCACACCCCTACTAAACATAATAATGCTCTTTGTAATTTTCCTTTATGAGTGTCATGATATAATTTTAGGACAATTCTATGTTTTTATTCTTTCCATAAATACTTTATTAACATGCAATTATCTATTAATGTATTATTATACATTACTAATAGTTAATATGATGTAGAGTTTTACAATAACGTTGGAAGTTTTAGGGACCAAATTATACAAATTTAAAGTGACATATAATATAATTAATTAACATTAATAATTAATTTAGTTTAGTTAGTATTAGAATGTAATATCAAAAAAGAATAGGGGTAATATATACTACAACAAAATACAACATTGCCGACGAAACAAAAACGTCGGCAAAAGTTTAAAAAACGTCGGGAAAAATCTTTCCTGACGCAAAATACAGTGTCGCTAACCCGTCGCCAAAATTGCGTCAAGGAAAGTATTTGGCGACGCAAATACACTGCATCAGGAAAGATTTTATACTATAATCCTTGAAAAGTTTTTCCACAACTCACTCTTTTAAAGGGAGTATGATCTTTAAAGGGATATATCGGCCATATTTTCAATAGCGGTCGATATTAAAAAATTACCAAACAAAAGAAAATAGTATAAAATATTATCGAGATAAAGTCTATAACTCAATATATTAGCTAATATAGCAACATATCCACCGATATTT